ACTTTGCACTCTATGCAAACATGGAATTACTGTCCTACAACCTTGAAACTGGGTCAGCTTAATCCAATAATTTTAGTATACAACGAGATAATGAATCATTTGCTTATTCTTTGTGCTCCTTAAAGTATGAATCACCGAATGTATTACATTGCTTTGGTTTCCTCCAATATTTCACTCTCATAATGACTAGATGATTCGCAAAAGTAATGCTTTCCGGAAAAAAAATTAATACATTTTTCGTGATTCGTAAGTATAAGTCCAATGTGACACTGTCATTCATGACACTGAAAAAAAAAAACCTACCATTTGCTGTCCTGGGACTGCCCCCAAGGCCTTGTCACCTATAAATCAATTCATCTGCAAATGGAACAGAGAAAAATTGTAGTCTAAAGTGAAACCCGTCACTACTATTAAGAGGCTCATATTTAAAAAGTTCCCTGACAAAACCTTAGAGCAATGTGGATTTCAAACCAGAAAAAGAACTCAACTCAACAAAACCTTCATTCCAGCTATTTAACATCAGCTACATGAATCATATTTCTCCATTGTGCTCTATCAATGGACTACAGTTTCCATTAAACCGTGAGGTATCCCCGTCCTCAAAAGCAGAAAAAACAGGAAGCATAACATTTTTCCAAGAACTAGGTGTTGGGGAAGAGGAGGGAGAGGGGGGCAAATGAAGGTGGCACGCCTTATATGGCTTCCAGAGCCTGAAGAATATAAGTCTTTTAAGTCCTCAAACCCTTTCAACTCCAAAGCTAAATTGAACCAAATTGAAGACAATCCCAATTTCAGGACTAGATTTTACATTTGTTTGAGCAACTCTCTATAGAGATTGCTGTGTGGCCGAGTTTTAGCAGTGGAAGAAGTTTTCGAGCACAGGAAGGGACTCGAACACATCCAAATTCCAGCATGTTTTCCTCCCCAGGCTACTGCTAATTAACCAAGAATGCAAATGAAATTTCGCCTAGATCAAATAAGAGAACCTTAAGTAACCTAATCATGAATGCAAAAAAAACAGCACAGAGAGACTAGCACAAGTCTAATTCTAGCCCTAACACAGGTTCCCATAAGCAATGTAACAGAATAAAGATATATCATTGTAGGGAGAACCATTATATATGTCATGAGTAAACCGGCGAGTCTCAAATTAGAGAGTACTGATACAAAAACTAAACCAATCCTACTCATTACACATCAATCAATGACCAGTGGATGTTGAACTAGTGAGAAGTAAGGGGAGTCCAATCCTTTCCAGGTGAAAAAGAGTATCGACTTACAGGACACAATAAGAACAAATTGAATATAATTAAGTTTCAGAATGATAAATATGGATGCCTTCCCATACCTTTCTAACAATGTACTCACCTAAAAATCAGAGTGCATGTAATGTCCATATTGTCAGAGTCCCTGTATGACCACATCACCTTCTTCTCTTGACTTGATATTAAGACTGAGGATAATAATCACACCTCAATTTATCTTACATCAAATCAAACTCATGTAGGAGCAAGCCAAAATTTTGATTGATAATGTCTGGTGTCTAAAGCATTCAGTCTCATATTAAGCAACACTAACAAAAAGCAAGAAAAAAAAAAAGCACATGATAATGTCTGGTGTCTACAGCATTCAGTCTCATATTAAGCAACACTAACAAAAAGCAAGAAAAAAAAAAGCACATGATAATGTCTGGTGTCTAAAGCACTCAGTGTCATATTAAGCAACCCTAACAAAAAGCAAAAAAAAAAAAAACGCGCTAATCAACAAACGAAAGGCCCCCAACACTCCAAACCCCTGAAAAGAACATAAGTAATTGCTCCTACANTTTCCAAGAACTAGGTGTTGGGGAAGAGGAGGGAGAGGGGGGCAAATGAAGGTGGCACGCCTTATATGGCTTCCAGAGCCTGAAGAATATAAGTCTTTTAAGTCCTCAAACCCTTTCAACTCCAAAGCTAAATTGAACCAAATTGAAGACAATCCCAATTTCAGGACTAGATTTTACATTTGTTTGAGCAACTCTCTATAGAGATTGCTGTGTGGCCGAGTTTTAGCAGTGGAAGAAGTTTTCGAGCACAGGAAGGGACTCGAACACATCCAAATTCCAGCATGTTTTCCTCCCCAGGCTACTGCTAATTAACCAAGAATGCAAATGAAATTTCGCCTAGATCAAATAAGAGAACCTTAAGTAACCTAATCATGAATGCAAAAAAAACAGCACAGAGAGACTAGCACAAGTCTAATTCTAGCCCTAACACAGGTTCCCATAAGCAATGTAACAGAATAAAGATATATCATTGTAGGGAGAACCATTATATATGTCATGAGTAAACCGGCGAGTCTCAAATTAGAGAGTACTGATACAAAAACTAAACCAATCCTACTCATTACACATCAATCAATGACCAGTGGATGTTGAACTAGTGAGAAGTAAGGGGAGTCCAATCCTTTCCAGGTGAAAAAGAGTATCGACTTACAGGACACAATAAGAACAAATTGAATATAATTAAGTTTCAGAATGATAAATATGGATGCCTTCCCATACCTTTCTAACAATGTACTCACCTAAAAATCAGAGTGCATGTAATGTCCATATTGTCAGAGTCCCTGTATGACCACATCACCTTCTTCTCTTGACTTGATATTAAGACTGAGGATAATAATCACACCTCAATTTATCTTACATCAAATCAAACTCATGTAGGAGCAAGCCAAAATTTTGATTGATAATGTCTGGTGTCTAAAGCATTCAGTCTCATATTAAGCAACACTAACAAAAAGCAAGAAAAAAAAAAAGCACATGATAATGTCTGGTGTCTACAGCATTCAGTCTCATATTAAGCAACACTAACAAAAAGCAAGAAAAAAAAAAGCACATGATAATGTCTGGTGTCTAAAGCACTCAGTGTCATATTAAGCAACCCTAACAAAAAGCAAAAAAAAAAAAAACGCGCTAATCAACAAACGAAAGGCCCCCAACACTCCAAACCCCTGAAAAGAACATAAGTAATTGCTCCTACATTTTCTCAGCAAAAATATCGATGCCTATCAGTTATTTATATATATATATATATATTAGATAATCAGTCAAAGGAATTCCATTATAGAAGACTTAGCACTACCAACAAACAAGAGCATTGTGAAACTAAGTATGGTTAAAATGCAGAAGTTAAGATAAATGCATGGTAAAATGAGAACATACATTTGAGAAATCGTAAAAGTAACAACAATAGAGGATAAATCAGTAGAAAATCGACTTAACAGATTTGATCATGTATAAAGAAAACCTAGTACTAATCCATGCGAAAGAGTAATGTGATACCTGTCGATGGTGGTGCAAGAGTTAGAGGTAAACCGAAATCAACTTTGAATGAGTTGGCATAACATGTGAGAGCTTGCGGTTTAACTGAACATATGGGCCCTTGATGGTGGATATTGGAAGAACATAACTCATGTACCTGACCTAAACAATTGGGATAGGGCTTTTGTAAATTTAATCAAGTATAAGAAAAACTTGATTACTAAAAGCACATAATCAAGAGATAGCTGATTGCTGGTGGATACATAGACCTGATGTAATTGATAAACTTCTAAGCATAATTGAATAGACAAACTCTTACAGATTCCTAAATTGTGCATTGTCGAGCTAAATAATAGTTGAGCTGATCAGTGGTGAAAAAATCTAACATGTAAGAGCTTCTCCAACCATGACTCAAATGTAGACTCAAATTTATGTCTAAATTTGAGTAAAAGCTTAATTTTGTATAGAGTACTGCAATGAGTAACTCAAATATCTACTCAAATATTTAAAAAATTATCTTATTATCTCAAAATTCATTTTTAAATTTTTTCCACCAAAATATTTATCCTCTCATCCTTCTGTTTAATATCACTAGTGAGATTCCAAAACAGTATCACTTCTGAATTTCCATATAAAATTTCACTCAAATGAAAAAAAAAAAAAAAACCCTCTACTCTCAATACAAAATCACACCAACCAAAATGGAACAACAAAACAATACAGATTTTAATTGAAGTTTCAACTCAAATTTTAAGCTATTGTATCTCCACTGCTGTATGTGGACGCATTCCAGTTTATCTATCCCAAGCAAAGTAGCTCTTAGATGAAAGGGAACTAGCCAAAGACTCTTGGCCATCAAAACCAAGAAGATGAAAGCTGCTTACCTATGGGGTCTTCAAGAATCCTTCGGTGTGGTCGGCGATGGGAGCAGTTTTGAAGATAGATGTAAGGGGAGGCAAGAAGTTGTTTTGTTGAAGGATTCTTTTTGGTTTGAATAGGGTAAAAAATTATCGTTGGAAATTTGGTATAAAATTTGAGCCCAGAATAAGTTTTGCCTTGATTTGATATAAATTTGGGTCTAAAGTTGGAGAGGTTTTTTGGGTCATTTTGACTCAAACGTAAATTTGACTCTACATTTAAGTCAGGGTTAGAGATGCTCTAACCAGAGAAATTGGAAGCAAATCCACAGGCTGGACGAAAACAGTGCAGCTGCAAGCCTAAAGAGTCCAATGCTGTGGGGGAAAATCTGTAAAGTGCTTGCTTAGCCCAGGGCACAGGAGAGACTTGAAGCACTGGGAGAAACACCATCCCAATGCGAACAAAGGGTCACGGGAAGTAGATATGTTAGTGAGATATCAAGAAAGAACTCCAGAACCTAACAAAAGTACATTGGTTCAAAGATGAAATACCAAAACTCAACAAAACAAAACACATTGAACCCCATTTTTATTCTAATTAAAGCCCATGGAGTCGAGAACAATGATGTAATTGCATAAAAAGGCGACAAATATCTACTCATAAATTCCCGGCATCACTCCAATCCAAAAACAATGCCTAATTCTAATTTCTCAATATGCAATGGTTTCACCATTATGCCAGCACAAATTATCACATTGATAACCCAATTTCCCAATTCAAATCAAACACATGATCTGAAAACAGAGATAACAAATCATCAGCTAAAAGATCAGAATGTGAATATATTTAATTGGCATTCAATACAATTATTCAGAATTCGTCAAATTTGCCGTAGTTCTAAAATTTCTCTTAATTACCTCAAAAATTTTCTAACCTTCCCAAAGGTTTCTACAAGTAAAATCGACCTATAAAACAAAACAGATAATCTCATGGACCCTCAAAAATTTAAGAACTTCCACTTTTTTCCGAACCAGATGACTCCGATGCCGATCCACCAGCTTCTTTCTCCTTCTCCAATTCCCTCACAGCCTCCTCTTCCGCCGCCTTCTCCGCCTTGAAAATCGGCTCATAATAATCTGGGTGCGCTTCCATACACTTCTTCAGCGCCGCCGTCACCTCAAAACACTTCTCCACAATGTCCTCTTTGTTCTTCTCACCTTCTTCAACGCATTTTTCCCAATCGATAAAACTGTCTTTGCACCCACCCCCTTTCATAAACAAGCAAAACCCACATTCACCCTCCTCTTCCTCTTCTCCTTCAACATCTTTCTCATCTTCTTGATTTCCTAGGGTTTCTGGGTCATTTTTCATTGGTGGATCTGAACATTCCTGTGGAGGCTTTTGGGTTTCTAGGGTTTTGGGTTGGTGGGTAGGATCTGTTTGGGGTTTAGGTTCTTGGGAGGTTTCTGGAATTTGTGAAGAAGACATGGTAGTGGTGGCGTTCGAGTTAGGGCTTGGTTTTGAAGTTGTTGACAAGAGGTTTCCCATGGCCGTCTTTTAAACCTCTCCCCTTAAACCTCTTCCTCTTGGAAATTTCGTCCACAATATTATAGTTTTTCCTCTGTTTTTTTAATGCTAACAGAAATTGGAGTGGCAGATGGCTTTCCTTTCGTGTTTTCCACTCCAAATTTTTTTGGATAAATTACAATGACACCCTTTATTGTTTAAAAATGTTTTAATACACCCCTTCTTATTTTAAATATTACACTCAGATCCTTTGTCAGTGTTGTTGTTTTCAAACCGGTGTTAATAGACATTGCAAAGTTATAATTTTACCCTTCTTATCGTTTCAAACCGGTGCTATAAATCGTTTTAGTAAATTTTGAATAGATTTTATTGATAAGTTTTGGAGCAATTCGTTGTTGTAAGGTGTGGCAAGATTTATGGGTAGATTTTTCGAGAAATTATTGGTCTAATTATTGTAGTAATTTTTTAGGCAGATTCAACAATTTATTGGTGAATGTTGGGTAAGATATTTGAGGAAAAAAAATTTGTGGCAAATTGTTGAATAGATTTGTGAACATATATAATAAAACATTTTACCTCGATTCATAGGATTTGATTTTTAATTGAATGGGTTTTTTTATTTTCGTGAAAGGGAATCACACATATGCTTGGTCTTTGTATTTGCATTTAAGATTTCTTACCGGATCAAATTTTAGTATTTTTCTTTCCTTTCGCGTGAGGAAAAAAAGGTAATTTATGCTTCAAAATTGATGAAATCATTGTCATCAGGGGGTGAGTCGTGAATTTGTTATACGTTGTCACATCTCAAGAGGTTTAATGGAGTATTAGTGAAAAAGTAAAAAACAATAAGGTATATCATTGTAATTTACTTTAATTTGATTAAAGTTACTAAGATCTTAGTAATATCGGTGTTATTACACCTCCACCATGCTCTGTCTCCTAATTAGGGATGTTAATTGAGACGAGCTATTTACATTCAGTTCGGGCTCAGTTCAGATAAAACTTGACTCAAGCTCAAGCTCATAGTCGAAACGAACTAAACTTGAATAATTTTTTAGGTTCATTTAAAAAAACGAGCCTAAAAATGTTCAGTTCAAGTTCTCAAAATTTGACTTATTTATATGTAAAATAATCGAAACATTCAGGATCAAATTCGGATCGAGTTTTAAACAAGCCGAGCTTGAGAAGTCGTTGCTGGCATCAGTGTCAAAGCTGGTGTCGATATCGGTGTCAGTGTCGATATAAATGTCGGTGTTAGTATCAGTGTAGGTGTTAGTGTCAGTGTAGGTGTTGATGTCGATGTCGATGTTAGCCCTTGTGCTAGTGACAGAGGTGATGGTTGTACAACTGTGGGCGATGGTGGTGAAGAAATGGGAGTAGTATAAACACCAGAAGGTAATAGTTGTACAGATGTAAAACGGAATATTAGTTGTCGAGATTGGAGCATTGATAAGTCGTCGTTGCTCACGGATGGATGTCAAACACAAGGAGCTCAGATTTGTGATACGCCCACAAAATCTTCATGCAAAGTGTCAAATTTAGGCTGCCCTCATATGTATAACGTGAAGTGTGATATATCCGCGTAAAAGTCTTTTCTTATAAAAAAGGTACATGAAATATTAATTATAATAAATAATTCTACATTTTCTGCCTTCCATATTTACTATCAAATCATTTAACATCTTACTAGTAGCTCTATGATGCTCCTAACTGGTTGCAAATCAACAATAGGCCTAACAATAGGAGAACCACAAGCTGACGAATGATGCGACGATACTATAGTATGTATGCGTCAGTAGGATCCATCAGTGCAATAATCAGGTCTCTTGTAACAAGTGTACCCTGGCAATGGGTCCACATGTGTATGTACACCTGATGAACCTTAGTCCAATCCCGATTTGATCTCCCGTGATGGTTGACAACATGTAGGGGCCTACTAGTATCACATATTTTTGGTATGCGCCAAATATCTTGCCCAATAAAGTAATAATCTAGCAGCCAACTCATGACCTCAGTAGTATATTGCTCCCATATTATTTGCAATACAAATTGTAGACACCCATTAATAAATGTAAAAGTATTTTTAAAAAAATTTGGTAGAATTTCCCCTATAAATTAGACCTTTCCAAAATTTTCAACATATATACAACACACTCAACTCAATGCAGACATAAACTAATATGCAAAAACATCTCAGCATCTCAACATCCACTAATTCCACCTAGCATGTCAACATCCACTATTGCCACCCATCTAAATGCAATCATCCCAACATACATTATAAAAGTTTAAAATCGAACATCCGTGTAAGTAAGATATGGTCAAGCTGATATACTTGATCGTCTCTCATTTGTTCAAGTTGGTCCCGATAGTGACGCAATACATGGTCGGAGTGTGCTGCTTTGAAAATGTGACATCCCATCTATAAAGTTCAACAAATTTATAAATACATAACAATAGGTAAAATGTCTATTTAACGTTTGATCGTTATTACGCACCTACAACCAAGAAGACCATCATGTATTGCATGCGCATCAGCGTCGTCATGTGCAGCCCCGCCTTCTACATCGGATCCATATCCTAATGTATCAACGTCATCATGTGCAGGCAAAAAATCCTATTGCCTATGAAATGCAACTGCACCATGGGACACGTGCTGTCGTGGCAGCACGCGCTATGGAATAATGTGTGATAGACGCTATCTCATGCCCACAACTACATACATAATATAATGTTTATAAATTTATACAGTTACGAGAAAATATGTCAGCACAATAAAAAATGCAAGCCTTGAATCATAATAAGTGAACCGCTAATATCCTTCACATCCCGCTTGGTAGCAAGATGCATCTCCCAGTACAACTATGAAAGGGCCGCACTGCCCCAACTTATAGTTCTGGCCGCATCAAAGTCCACAAGTAATGGTAAGAACATACTTAACCCAGTTTGACGACTTATCTCCAAATAAAAATCCCCCAATCAACAATAGTATGTACGCTCGGGCGTAACATGCTATAAATTGCTTAGTCGCATCAGGTGGAATCGTATGGCCCAAATGCTCGGACAGTGCACTAAACTGCAATGTGGATTTATCTATCACTCTATCTATTGGTGTGAACCCAAGAAACTCAGTGCACATGAGACTCCACTGCTATACATCACGCACGATATCCATACAACATACAGAAATCCCATCAACTAGCAAGATGATTACATACAGCTGTGTCTTGAAGTGTGATTGTGGCATCACCAACTGGCAAATAAAATGTGTGTATCTCAACTCGCCAACGCTCAACAAGTGCGGTAGTAAGAAATTAGTCCAGCTGAATGTACCTAAGGCGATATGCCCCATAAAATTCAATTGTGCCTAGATGTTAAATAACCTACTCGTCAGTCATTGTAACTCGACAAAGTGGAGCCTTAGATCGTCTACAATGTAAAGGTGGGAGCTTAATGCCCTCCCAAATAGAAGTCGCGTGATGCTCACGTTGTAATGACAATATGGATGCATCATCGGGACCTAGATGTAGTAATGAGTGCGGATCACGATCCATGTACACAACCTATATCACCACACAACAAAAAAATAACATCATTAATATATAAATAAAATAGTTCATAAATAAACAAAGTAACACTGTTAAGACATCCTACACAGAAACAAGTGGTAATGCCAATAATTAACATCTGAATCAATAATTCTTCTAAAAAAAATTAAAAATATAGCCTAGACACAACATTATGGGGCATTCTTAATACATAAAGTTTAACATCACAACATATAAAGTTTCGAATTCACTTATACATTTCATAAAGCAATTAGTAAAGGTTAAATAATCACACAGGCATAACATATTTATAGTGGATGACCATTGAAGAAACTGATTGGTTCTTTGTTGGACATGTTCAACAATCATGCCCTACTTGTAAACAAATACTGTAGTGATTTATTTTTCGATCTTCTCTTGAAAAATCCATTTCATTGCATATACGCGTCTATGAACGTCTTTTGCCTCCTTGATGCAATGACCTATCAAGGCATAATGTAGGGTCATTGGTATCATCCCAATAATCTTGGTGGTGTATAGGATGAAGTTTTTTTTTAAAAAAAATTGAGCCCAATTTGGGCAAATATTTATTAATGGCAATGAGGGGAGGACACAAACCTAGCCCCTTTACATAAAATAATGAAATTTCTTAAAATAAAAAAAGAAATAAAAATAAAAAATGAAGCAATGATATGAGAGTTCCTGGAACTAATACCTTATATCCACCATTCCATCTTAAGTTTTAATTCCCTTAAATTCCTCCCTTAATTACTCTCCTTTAGCTTATTTATGAGTCCAGCTGTAGAAGTATTAAATCGAAGGAATCCTTAGCAGACTTCGAGTATAGAAAGGCAGCAAATCCAAAACTGAATTAGCTCCTTAAATTTTGAAAACTTAACTTGCTGAGCAAGGAAAGAATCTTCCTCAAAAGAACCCAGTATTTCTGCCTAGAATCATGCTTGATCAACTCCATTAGTGCCTGAATCCATATCTGTTAGTCTCCTTTGGAATTTTGAATGCTAGCATGGATTTGGATTTGGACTTTGTCATCATCCTCGAAATTTCTTCCCTAACTGGAACATTATACAATTCCATTGCCAAAGCAACTTTTCTCATCCGCAATATTGAGTCTTCTTAGCAATCTTTTGGACATAGCCATAAAAGATTCATAATCAAATGTAGATGTTAAAACATCCTCCTCTCCATCAAAATAAAAACCTCTTGTGTTTTCATGGATAGCCTGTTTTTTGACATAGTCATCTTTTGAAAAAATGCCCTTTGATTTCAATGCCTGATGAATCTCATCCCTAGACATTTCTGAATTAAACTCCGCTTGACTATGGACTCGCTGATGAACTGCCTCTATCATTTGCTTGGTAACAAACTTTGGCTTGTGCAAAGAAGCATAACATGGACCATAATCAATGGAAGCTTCTTCCAAAGAATCTTCAATACCATAATTAGGATCATCATCTGAACTGGAAAAAATCTCACCATCCTCATTGTTCAGATTAAGCAAATTGAAAGAG